CCCCCGCATCGCTTTCACCCTTGCAGCGTAGCAACAGCCCCCGGAGGCGCCCTTATGGACGAAGCAGTCGATGAAGTAGTCAATGCAAATTGCACCCACTCTTCGATTATTCAATCAATCAAAATTTAACTTCCCTAGTCCCACCTCCGCTTCCCCAGCTGGCCAGCTGAGCTCTCTGCAGGGGAGCGCAGAACCTCTGGGGCTCAGAAAACAGCTGTGTGGGTGTGCACCTTACAGGGAACCTTTTCCCCTCACTGCTCCCCTTCCCTGGGATCCTCTGTCCACTATCCAACCCTCCTGTTCCTGACCACTGCCGCACCAGCTGCGCCGGCAGTGCTGCACCTGCCAGAGATGCAGCCACATCACCTGGAGCATCAAGGCGGGTGGTGTGGCAATTGTGCGGCCCAAGCTCTGGGGAGAGCTGGGGCTGCATGCGGGGGGAGCGGGGGCGGGGGGAAGGTAGTACAGAAGAGCAGGGGCCAGGGGCTAGCTACCCTGGCTCATCATGCTGTCCAGGAATTGGACTGGCTCCTCCCAGCAAGGGTGCTCCAATCCCGCTCCCTGGAAGAGAGCTTGGGGGCCTTATTGAAGGATCTGAAAGACTTGGATGTGGCCGTGGGCTGTAGTTTGCTCCCTTCTGAACTAGAACAGTGTTTCTCACTTTTTTTTTAAAGGGGTACTTTATAAAAAAGGTTATTATTACCCCCAGTACTACAGTTTTCAGACACACAGTTTTTTTTTCCTACCATTGCAACACATTTGTTTAAACAACGGGGTGGGTGATGACATTTTTGGGTGCAAAAAGTACAAAAATAATAAAACACTAACACTTAAAACAAAAATTCAGTTTTCTCCAAATTTCAGTTGTGTTGACGTACCCCCCCAGGCTTCTCTTGAGTATCCCTAAGATTACAAAGGAGGAGCATGGTAATTACCTGTAGATGCTTCTAGGGTGCCAGGTATAACTTAGGGTGGCCCAAAGTGGGAATAACTAAGATTAATGGGATCAGATTGTGCAAAAAAAAAAAAAAAATAGTGGTCTGAATTAAGGTTGTGAATGGTTAATTGATGGGGACTACAGCAGCTCTTGGCCTCCCCCATGGGGGCAGGAGGCTGCTGCAGCACCACAGGTAGGGGCTGGAGCACCACAG